AGGTTACATTATTCTTTGAACTTTTTTGCTTTCACAGACCATTGAAGTAGTCTCTCTCTCTCTGTCTCTCTCTCTCTCTCTAGGGTATGCAGCTCCATGATTGATCATGGAGGCTGATGCAGGAGTGGTTACCGCATAAATTATTGGGAAGATATATATATATATTTTTGTGGTTGTTGTGAAATTAAGAATACGTGTGCAATGAGATATAAAATAAGTAAGATACAATATTTACAAAGCTCGCTAAGTGTGCTTATGTTCTAGGGGTAGGGGCAGTAACAGCAGTCTCTTATTATCAAACAAAAATTACAAAGCAATGGAAATAAAGAGATTATATGTTTTCTTCTCTACACTGCTGCTATTAGAGGGGTGTAGTCAAACTAGGTTTTAAGAGGATTTTAAAAGACTTTAAAATCCTAGTATAGTCAATTAAAAGATTTTAAAGGATTTTAAAATCCATTCAAATTTAGGTGTAATCAATTAAAGGATTTTAGAATTCTTTAAAATCTAGGTGTAGTCAATTAAAAGATTTTAAAATTCATCCAAATCCAAGTGTATTAAAAAAATAAAGATTTTGGAGGATTTCAATAAGTTGTGGATTTTGTGGGATTTGAGAGCCAAAAGTATATATAGCCAAGATTAAAAATAATCCAACCTCACCCCCTAGGATTTCAAATCCTTCCACCACAATCCACCACAATCCATTTAAATTCTTTACAAATCCATATGAATTTTGTAAGAGTCTTTAATCCTCTTAAATCTTATCAAATCTATCATTTTTAAAATCTTTTAAAATCTTAGTTTGACTACATCCTCTACATTTGTGAACTAATAGGTCCTTATATAGAAATTGTGAGATGTGATGTTTAGGAGGATTCGGTGGAGATACTTGAAATTGTGGGAAAACGATGCTCGTCAGATATTTTTTTTGGGAATCCTGAGAATTCTGTGATCATGATCGTTTATCATACATTGTGCATCTCCATAATCCAATGTGCATCTCCATAATCCAATGGATTTGAACCCCTGCTGGAGATCGAGGTTGGATTAAAGACTCTTACAAAAATCATAGAATCTCCACAATCCAATGTGCATCTCCATCCACTTTTCTTAATTTTGTTTATGCATAAACGTTTATAGTGCCATCCATCTGTCATCCATCTTTATCTCCACCCACTTTTCTTGATTTTGTTTATGCATAAACGTCTAGGAGGTAGATTGTTTACTTTCCTGTTTGGGTGCCATTTCCATCCCCTCTTATTTTGTGTGATCACAGTTAAGTCACGTTAATATTTTATATTGATTTTTTTATAGAGATAATAAGACAAAAAACAATAAGAATATAAAATATTAACGTGACTTAACCGTGATCGCACAAATAGAAAAATATGTGAATGACACTCAAACAGGAGAGCAGACAATATGTCTCCAAACGTCTATAGTGCCATCCATCTGTCATCTACCTTTACAACATGGTTATGCTTTTCTTTGTTTATGCATTTAACATTGTCTGTAAATTTTCAGCTACCTTTGTGGCACAAATAGGAGGGGATGAAAAAACGATCATTGTCGGATCTTTTTTCTAAGGATCTTGAGAATTCTGTGATTATGATCGTTTATTGTACATCGTGCGATTAATTTTCGTTAATTATTATTTATATTTAATTTTAAATTTTAAATTATTTTTAACCACACAATGTACAATCATGATCATAGGATTTCCACAATCCAATGTGCATCTCCACTCTTGATTTTGTTTATGCATAAGAGCAACTCCAGTGTTGGAGCCCTCCCCCCAGGCAATGCACTATTCAATCCACCTAATGAACAGTAATTGCCCTTAATGAACAGTAAATAGCCATGGCAATAGAATTTGCATCTCCACCGTTACACTTCAATAGCCCTGGCAATAGGCAATAAAATATTAGTATTTTTTTTATTTATAAAATAATACAAAATAATTTTAATTGTAATATCGGATAAGATTTTTAATCGTTATCGTTGCGCTACGTGTCATTATTCGAAGTATTATTAAATAATACAAAATAATTTTATTTGTAATTTCGGATAAGATTTTTAATCGTTGTCGTTACGCCACTTGTCATAAAATCCGAAAAGACAATTATTGGGGATGGATTTTCGATAAATTTTTTAATCGTACTCGTTATGCCACGTGTCATTATCTGAAAATACAATTATTGGTGATGGATTTCTGATAAGATTATTAACCAATCATGTCGCGCCACGTGTCATAATCTGTTCACAATCTTTGAGGATAGATTTTCATTAGATTTTTAACGAATGACGGCATGCCACGTGTCATAATCTGTTCACAATCTTTGAGGATAGATTTCCATCAGATTTGTAACGAATGACGGCATGCCACGTGGCATTATGTACAACCTAATCCTTTCTGAATCCTCTATATAATCCACCATCCATCCTCACAAATCTCACACCAATTTTCTCAAGATCTCTATCATTATTCATAGTTTCTGCTTCCTTATTCACAAAAATCTGTATCATTATTCATAGTTTCTGTTTCTTTCTTAGAATGTCTTCTTCTTCTTCCTCAAGGATGATGTGGGAATTCAATCAGGAAGAGGAAGAATTGTTTAACGAATCAGAAGCAATGTTCAATCACCAGGGGGTAAGAAATGAGAGGGAAAAGGATGAGGAGCGTAGAAGGAGAGAAGACGAAGTAAGAATGGGCAGAACCTCACATTCCCGTCGAGTCAGAAGGAGAGAAGACGAAGTAAGAATGGGCAGAACCTCACATTCCCGTCGAGTCATCCAAGCTGCGGCTCAGATCTGCAGGCCCAGCCGTTCCGGAAACCTTGATAGAAGCAGGCAACGACGAGGTATGGAACTCTTGGATGATTATTTTGTTCCTAATAGTGCATTCCCTGATACGTACTTTAGACGTCGTTTTAGAATGGAACGACATTTGTTCAACAAAATCATGATTGCTGTGTGCAACCATGATTCTTATTTTGTGCAAAAGAAAGATGCTTTTGGTGCTATGGGTCTACTGCCTGAGCAAAAAATTACTGCTGCCTTGCGGATGCTGGCATATGGAGCATCTGCAGACCAAGTGGATGAGATAACGAGGATGGGGAAATCAACCATTCTTGAGTCCCTGATGAGGTTTTGCAGAGCAATTGAATCTATCTACACCGCTGAGTATCTTCACAAACCTACACACATGGACTTGGAGCGGCTGTTGAAGAAGGCGGAGATGCGTGGCTTTCTTGGGATGATTGGAAGCATTGATTGTATGCACTGGACATGGAAAAACTGTCCAAGTGCATGGCAAGACGCTTACGGGGACAAAAAAGGAGCAAAAAGTATCATTCTGGAGGCGGTGGCATCTTTTGATACATGGATTTGGCACGCCTTTTTCGGGGTCCCGGGAGCTCAAAATGACATCAACGTCCTTGCCCAATCCCCAGTGTTCAACGATGTCCTGCAAGGAAAGGCACCAAAAGTTACGTATGAGGTCAACGGACGTATGTACGACGGACCATACTACCTAGCTGACGGCATTTACCCGCGATGGTCAACATTTGTCAAAACAGTGCCATGTCCGCGGAAAAAAAAAGGATTCAAACTTTGAGACAAAGAAAGGAATGTGATTGAAAGTAGTTGAGAAAATATGAAATTGTTGTGTAAGGTAGATGATAATGAGAAGGTATTTTAGAAAAGTAAAAACAATTTTTTTTACATTTTTTTTCAGATTTTTCAGATTTTTTTTTGAATTTTTTACAATTTTTTTAAAATTTTTATTCAATTAATTAATTTCTGCCGTTGGATATAAAAAAATTTGAATTCCAACACTCCAGATTGTGCCACGTGTCACAACGGTAACTTTTCTTAATTTTAAAACTATTTTTTCATTTATTTTTTTATTTATATCCACCGTTGATCTCAGATCGAACGGTGGATATTAAATCTGACTTTTTTTTTTATTGTTGAGATCAAACGGTCCAAATTAAGTAACCGTTGAGATCTAACGGATCGTGGGAAGCCACGTGGCTTCCCAACGGTAACTGACAAACTTTTTTTTCTTTCTGATTTTTGTGTCGGCGACGCGCCCCTATGCGCGAGTGGGGTGCACGCGCCTGACACAAAAAAAATTTAATATTCCCTGACGCCAGGTTGACGTCACATAGCCCTCAGGCTCTCGGGCTGGCAATTCGCCACGAGCCCGAAGCTCGGGCCTCCACCTTCGGTCGGGCTAGCCCACGCTGGAGCCCTCCCACCGGCCCTCGGGCCCTTGTTTTCTCAACTGTCCCCCGAGGCAAACCCAACGCTGGGCTTGCTCTAAACGTTTATAGTGCCATCCATCTGTCATCCACCTTTATCTCCACCCACTTCTATTGGCTTTGTTTATGCACACTTTTCTTTGCCATCCTGTTTATGCATTTAACATTGTCTGTAAATTTTCAGCTACCATTTTGGTGCCATCCTGTTTATGCATTTAACATTGTCTGTAAATTTTCAACTACCCTATTGGTGCCATCCATCCGTCATCCACCACTTTTCTTGACTTTGTTTATGCATTTAACATTGTCTGTAAATTTTCAGCTACCATTTTGGATTGGTGCCATCCATCCGTCATCCACCACTTTTCTTGACTTTGTTTATGCACACTTTTCTTTGCCTATGCATTTAACATTGTCTGTAAATTTTCGGCTACCAATTTGGTGCCATCCTGTTTATGCATTTAACATTGTCTGTAAATTTTCATCCATCTGTCATCCACCACTTTTCTTGACTTTGTTTATGCACACTTTTCTTTGTTTATGCATTTAACATTGTCTGTAAATTTTCAGCTACCATTTTGGTGCCATCCATCTGTCATCCACCACTTTTCTTGACTTTGTTTATGCACACTTTTCTTTGTCCATGCATTTAACGTTGTCTGTAAATTTTCAGCTACCATTTTGGTGCCATCCTGTTTATGCATTTAACATTGTCTGTAAATTTTCAGCTACCATTTTGGTGCCATCCTGTTTATGCATTTAACATTGTCTGTAAATTTTCAGCTGCCATTTTGGTGCCATCCATCTGTCATCCACCACTTTTCTTGACTTTGTTTATGCACACTTTTCTTTGTTTATGCATTTAACATTGTTTGTAAATTTTCAGTGACCTTTTTGGTTCTATCCCTCTCTGGTACCTATTGCTATTCTTCGTTGAATTCGAACCCAGGAATGAGTAACCTCAAGTTAGCGGTGGAGGTTGTGAGTGCCCATAACCTTATGCCGAGACATGGACAAGGCACAACCAGTGCTTATGTGGAGTTCCTGTTCGATGGTCAGAGAGCCCAAACCAGCACAAAAGTAAGAGATGTCAATCCTGTTTGGAATGAAACCATCTTCTTTGATGTCTCCGATCCAAACCGCCTGCCTGACCTCGTTGTTGAGGCCAATGTTTTCCACAAAGGAAATGCCAACTCCACAACTTTCCTTGGAAAGGTTTGTTTGCCTGGGACATTATTCGTTCCATGCTCTGATGCTGTTGATTCGCGCCACCCTCTTAAAAAAAGAGGTATTTTCTGTTTCTCCCGCGTGAAAAGAGAGCTTGTTCTAAAAGCTTTTCACACTGGTAATCATTACCTTGCAAACCCAAATCAATCGCAGCCATCGGTGAACCATGAGGCGCAGTCTGAATCCCATGAGCCTCCTAAAGTAATGCGTTTACCTCGACCGTCTGATTATCTGCCTAAAGAGACAAGTCCTTGCTTGGGAGGGGGGCACGTTGTTCGTGGGCGATTTGTGCGTGGAGACAGTCCAGTCATCAGCACCCATGAGCTTGTCGAAACAATGCATTACCTGTTTGTACGCGTTGTGAAGGCCCTCGATCTTTCTTGCCGTGACACATATGTGGAAGTGAAAGTTGGCAATTACAAAGAAATTACAAGAAATTTGGAGAGAAAGCAGAACCCTGAATGGAATGAGGTGTTTGCGTTTCCAAAGGAAAACCTGCAGTCATCTGAATTGGATGTTGTGGTCAAAGACAAGGAACTTGTAGATGGTGACTTTGTTGGGTCTGTGCGGTTTGCTCTCAATGAAGTTCCGACCCGAGTTCCACCTGATAGTCCAGTGCCTCCGGAAAGGCATCAGGTAGTAGACAAGGATGGGAAGAAGAAAGGGGAACTCATGCTTGCTGTATGGTATGGCACTCAAGCTGATGAAGCTTTTCCAAATGCCTGGTACTCTGATGTAATTCTTCCTGCTGATACGTCTTCAGCTGCTTATACACATGTCCGCTCAAAAGTTTACCCTTCACCAAGATTATGGTATGTACGGGTAAACGTGATTGAGGCACGGGACCTGGTTGTACCTGACACATCTCGAATCCCAGTTGCATACGCAAGTATACAAATCGGTCATCAGTGTTTAAAGACAAAAGAAGTTCAATCTTTGAACCCAATGTGGAACGAGGAACTTATGTTTGTCACTGCCGAACCCTTTGATGATCAACATCTGATCGTTTCTGTTGAAGATCATGTATGTCCAGAGGAGACATTAGGAAGAGTTTCCATAGCATTGAACTCCGTTGAGAGGTGCGGTGAATCTGCCGATGATGATCAAATTATCTGTGGGCAGTGGTTTAACCTTGACATGTCTCTGTCAAATGTCATGGAGAGAGATATTGATCATAAGTTTTCCAGGAGAATCCATCTCCATGTTTGTCTAGATGGAGGGTACCATTTACTTGATGATTCTTCTAACTATTGCAACGACCTGCAGCAGCCTGTTGGTGTCTTAAAGCTCGGAGTTCTAAATGCCAAAGACCTAATGCCAATGAAAACAGAGACTGGGAAGGCTACAACTGACTCGTATTGTGTAGCGAAGTATGGCGACAAATGGGTTCGTACTCGAACCATAACTAACAGCACAAGTCCAAAATACAATGAGCCGTACACTTGGGAGGTATATGATCCTGTCTCATTTCTCACAGTGGGGGTTTTTAATAACGGGCAGATTGGCAATTCAAGTGGGAAAAAAGATAAAGAAATTGGCAAGGTCCGGATTCAAATCTCTACCCTCGAATCAGACCACTTGTACACACACTCTTATCCGTTGCTATCCGTTTCTTCTTCTGGTGTCAAGAAGACGGGCGAATTACATCTTGCAATAAGATATTCATGCATATCATTTGTGAATCTAATGTTGATTTACTCTCAACCTATTTCGGTAAAGATACAGCCAGGCACATTGAGGAACCAAGCTGTATTGGTGGTGGCAGATAGGCTTGCTCAGGTAGAACCACCTCTTGGGAAGGAAGTAGTTAAATACATGTACTCTGATGCTGCAGATGTTCATGCTTGGAGCATGAGGCGCAGCAAGGCAAACTTTTTCAGAATGATGTCTGTTTTATCACCGTTCATTTCTGTTCGGAAATGGTTTGAAGAAGTATGTGCATGGAGAAGTCTCATTATAACAGTGCTAGTACATGTCCTGTTTGTGATGCTGGTGTGCACTCCGAAACTTATTTTGTCAACTGTTTTCCTATACACGATCGTAATAGGGATTTGGAACTTCCGGGACCGCCAAAGACACCCTCCCCATGTGGACACAAGGCTCTCCCATGCAGACTCTACGCACCCTGATGAGCTTGATGAAGAATTTGACACATTTCCAACTTCACGACCAATTGATATAATTAGGATGAGGTACGACCGCTTGAGGAGTATTGCCGGAAGGATTCAAACGGTGGCGGGGGATGTTGCAATGATAGGGGAGAAGATTCAGAACCTTCTCAGTTGGCGGGATCCTCGCGCCACTTTTATATTCACCACATTCTGTCTTTTTGTTGCTATTGTGTTGTTTGTGACACCTTTGAAGGCTGTAGTTATTATTGCTGGGTTTTACTTAATGAGGCACCCAAGGTTCCGGCGTAGGCAACAAATGCCATCAGTCCTGGCTAACTTCTACAGAAGGTTGCGCACGAATGAGGACTCTATTTTATAAATGCCCCATTATTCACTTATTTAGATTTGTTAAAGCGAGTACCTTTGAATTTTCATGGCACTACTTCTTGAACTTTCGCTGTATGCATGCCGCTTGAAAAATTCAAGCATACGGCTATCGTAGCCCTCGCACAGGGCAGACTTCAAAAGTGAGTGCTGCCGTATGCGACAGCCCGTATACAAGAAGTTTTGCTAATAGTTTTGTATTCTGCATTTGGTTTTGTGGCCTATGTGATCCCAATGCCCAAATTATCGGTTTGGAAAACCATCATCTTAGAATTCTCATTTCATGTCTGTCTCTGACTAACAAGAGTAAAATCCAAATCTAGTGGAATCTAATTGGGGTAGAGATTAATAATTGCATCTGCACATTTTAATAATGTAGCATTTGGTTCTATGAACCAAAGATAAGGTGGGACAATGAAAATGGAGGAGGAGCGTTATCCTGTGAAAACAAGAATTCAAAACCAAATTGAATGCTTTTAGGTGGAATAGTCGTGTGGTTGATCAAATAGTAAGTCTTGTCTTTATATTACAATTCTTATGCGGGTCCGTCTCATATTCTAGTTGTGTCTTATTTACTTTATATGCTACTACATATATATATATATATATCGTCTATTTTACAACACATTAATGCTATTTACACATGAGCTTGGGTCGGTTCGGTCCTGCCCCACTTTCAAATTGTTAATCAAATCGAATAACTTGATGTGGTTCAATAAAATAGACTGGAACTGAACCATTCAATGTTGGCTTTGTCAGCTTTAAAAAAGCACATTTTTTTATAAAAACCAAACCAAATCGAAAGATTTACTATGATCTAATCGGTTTTTCGTTGGCCGGCTTTTATGCCCACCCCTAGACAAGTAATTTGAGTCAGCAACTTGGAGTTTGATGTTGTAGTTGTAGGGTAAGCCATGATCTTGCAAGAACTACAAGGACAAATGTTTTCGCATAACTGCAAACTGTCTATTTACCAAGTAATGTATACCTGGCGAGTCCTCTTGCTTTTAGTCACAATCCAATTATGAATCGTTACTACATAAGTGAAGTCCGATATGATTTATAAGAAATTCTCAATGTAGAACGTTTGTTATTTATCAATATGTTTAGGGGCAATAATGATATCAGCACATTAACAAAGCAATAATAAAAATCCGTTCTATAGTCGGACTATAAGATTTAACATCTGAAAAGCATAACATTGTTAGAACATCTTGAAAATGGATCATTCTTTGTAGTGAGTAACACTTAAATTCACTCCACAATCAACTTTGCCCTAACATGGCCCTCTGAAATTTGAAACTGTTCAGTTAAACCAAGATGTGCCATAAGAAGCCAGATATGAGTGAGCAGCTCTCCTCCTCGCCTGAGCTGCTGAGCATGATCGCTCCACCTGCACTGATTGGCCGCGAAAGCGAGCATTTCCATCCACACATGACTTATAAACTCCCATTTTTTCTCATTGTTCTCCCAATGTCCCTTATCCTCAAGGGACTGCAGAGCTTTAGCGAGCCTGCATGCATCAAATAGAACCGACTTGCTTCTATCTCCCTTCACTTTCGATGGAAGGATGTCTGTGCTCACTTTGAGCAGCATGGTGCAGGCCTTTTCTGCATCCTTTATGGATTTTCTTTCGGCGATAAACTCCTTAGCCTCGGCACAGGTGTCTCTAAACCTAATCTGTCCAATCCCATTTGGCAGCATGAAGGGGCACATCACCAAAAGATACAACATATAGTTTGATAACACCCTGCTGTCCAATCCCATTTCGCGGTTTCTGTTCAGATCAGAATAGTAAAATAGATCTGTCGCAATATGCCAAAGAATGATGCTTTGATCAAATTCGGCCCCATTAATTGTCCAGCCAAGTTCATCTAGACATTTTGCTTTCTCAAGCACCCTGTTGCCCCTTAGAGCACATAGTTCTTTTAGTCTGCTGCCCTCGAAATTAGAAGCAGTCTTCGACTTGTCTAGCAGCTGCCCAAATATCAAATTCTTCAACTCTTTGGAAACATCCTTCAAGTCTGTGTATCGATACTTCTCTAGCAACCGATTTATAAACAAGTCCTCGTTGATGAAAATGCACTTTGCTGGCCTTTCTTTGAGACAAAATGTTATGAGGTTATATTGTGCCAAGGTATTAGACCACCTCTTGTCTTTTATCCAAGGGATTGATGAAGCCGCTCTGTGCAAGAGATCTACAGCCGTGTTTTTGTGCTTGCTCAGCCACAGCCGGGTCCAGTCCGACGAAAGTATTACGACAACTGCATAAAATTCTAAGACAATAGCTCCAACCAACAATATGTATGTGATAATTACATCCACTTTCATGTATTCTTGCTTCTCCGTGATCAACAAGAAGGCTAGGAACACACAAACTGTGAAAGAAAGAGTAATACAACGGAGAATTCCACCAACACCAGAATAAACCAGAAGTGATTTAGTATAAAACACATCATACATGAACCCTAACTCGAGCTCAATAACCTCGAGAGCTTTCTCAGAGGTTTTACTTTTGAAGAACGATTGGCTGTTTTCTATGTCGTGGAAGGTGAGGATGAGATCGGCACACAGCCGCTTGAAAGTTTCAAACAAAATATAAGCTTTGCTTAAAACTGCAGCATCTTGGGCGCTATTAGATTCATCAGGTTGAACAGCATAGGAATGATCTGGGGGAGCTCCAATGAATGTTTTCGGTTCAACCCTAAACCCCTCCGCTTTCTTTGAGCTGTATTCTTCCATGTATCTAGCATAATTCGGACCTGCGTCCGGAGGAGGGAGCATAGACTCTCGAAAATGCTCACTACTTGCAGACCTCAAAACCCAAGTCCTCTCCCCAAATTTTATAATCCCAACTACGAAAACGGGAATTGCCAAAAAATTCAACACTTCACTAGACCATGCTCTTATAAACACATACAAAGCTACAATCACCTGGACAACTAACCCAAGAAAGTGCCTAAGCCACAACTCATTATCCTCCAACGAGTAAGCAGTAATCGTATCTGGACCGCCCAGATGCAATAGAAGAAATGGTGCCCAGAATGCTGTTATAACAAAGTTAGGGTTTACAGAATCACCTTCGGAGTCTTCCTGGTTGCTGGAGAGAATCCCAAGTGAGACGGTTGCAACAGAGTCAGCTGACAAGTAAGCGAGCCAGAGGACAATTCGGAGTATGTTGCTGGTTGAATGCTTTCTCCAGTTGCCGATCAGGATGAGGATGGCTTGCAAGGCAAGGCTGATTAGAACCATGGCTCGAAGCTCCCACTCGTTCCAGATTTCTCTCACGCTTTCAGGGAAAATTTGCATTGCCTTCCTGTTCTGTGTGAAGATCAAACTGCTTACAACTGCAGGAATGGATATTTTTATTTTATTTTTGGCAAACATCAAATTGTATCAGTATATGTTTCATACTTGCATAATTCATTGTACATAAAAGGAAGAACTGAACTGGTAATCTCACCTGTGAGTAACATGATTGATCTGTTTTCTTTTTTTTTTTTGGAGAACGATTGATCTGTTTTCTTAAGGACTTGATCCTTGGGTTTATTTAAAGTTTCCAGTACTGCTAGCCTATAGGTAGTAGGTGCCTAGAAACAGAGTGAGTAAAAGAGTTAAAACAAAATGCCACTTGGTACTACAGTCTACTGGTATTCTTCTTCACTTGTAAGTGAGAGGTCTTATGTTTGATTCTCACCAAAAGAGAATTTGAACCACATTGTTGCTAGTCCATTGTGAGGCTGAGCCTATCTCTCCCCCTTAATTTAATATAAATAATATTGTTTGTTCAAAAAAAAAAAAAAAAAAAGCTCAAATCAAACTAAAAATTTGAGCCCATAATTTTGTGCTAATGCAGTGGAGGAGCAATTTTTTTTTTTTGCATCTAGAAGCACTTAGTGCCAACGCATATTTTACCAATAGAGAACTGTTGGATCGGCATTGAGTGCTTGTAGGTAGTCTAGAAAGATCAGTATAGAACAATTTTACCTACTTTGTAATTGGAGATGATGCATGTAGGTACTCAAGAAAAATCAACGGAGGAGGGAGGGTGTTCTCTTCTTTTTGTTATAAAAAGTTAAAGAGTGAGAATAACAAAACAGGCAAACCGAGTATCCAGTACTCATGATATTTTAATCATTAAATTTTGATTGTGGTATTGTTAAATAAAAATCTAAATGATTAAAACACTCAAACTTAAAAATAAAAATCAAAACGATTAAAACTCTCAAACTATTCTGGAGCACCTAAGAAAATCTTCAGCCATACCAGTCAGTCAGTCCAAAATCATCCAACATAATGCGCTCAAAAGTCATACGCTCGGGCAGTGTCCTACCAGTTTTGGCATAATTTGACCCCTTTTTTTTGGGGAAAAAAAGAAGAAGAGAGAAGACATTTATAAATTAGTCTCTTTAATCATCTAGTTATTTGGGTGTAAAAACATGTGAAAGGAATGGAGAGTGTGCGCTAAAAGCCCACTATATGGAGAGAAGTTTAGGTGCCTATATACTGCGTCGCATCTCCTACATTTTTTTCATTTTGACTTCACTTAAGTATGAGCACAAACGCTCAATGTCGCCGAACTAGGGGAAAGAGGTTTCGAAATTAGGTGTAGAATGTTAGGAGGAGGGGTATTGATAGGGATCGAACTTGCATTAAAGTATATAGGTATTATTGCATTTTGTCATTGTGGTACAGTGCCATTTGCATTTTGCCTTGGATGTTATGTTCATATAGTTATGAATAGACCTGATAATTTTTTACACGACTTGTTAATACGACACAATAACGACACAAAAATAACAGGTTTCAGGTCAACACGATAACTAATCAGGTCGTTATCAGGTCACACATTAAGAACCCGTTAATATTGCGTTCTTAACAGGTTTACAAGCAAGTAACCGTGGGTAACCCGTTTCGACACGTTATGAAAAAAGTTATTTTAATTAGGGTTCTTTAGATATAGATTTTTGCAACTCTTATTTCCTAGGTAAAAAAACCCATCTAATTCTAAACATCCAAATAAAATCCAAATTTGAAAAAACTGCCAAATAGAAAAGTAATTGACCTATTATTACAAAATATTTACAACTTGTACCACAATATTCAAATCAAATCAATAAATATTAGGGAGTTTTAACGAAAAGCCCACGGTACTATTCACTTTAACGAAAATCTACATTTTTACACTAAAAAGTCAATCCTGATGCTATTCACTTTACTCTTTATTTTGTCCTTATCATTAAAACTCAAAGTTTTTAAGCCTTTTTCATTAGTTTTCCTTAAATATTATTACTTACCTTAATTATAAGGAACAAATAATTATTGCACATACTATTACCCCTAACATATATAAATTAAACACACACACCTACTCTTTATTTTGTCCTTATCATTAAAACTCAAAGTTTTCAAGCCATTTTCATTAGTTTTCTTTAAATATTATTACTTACCTTAATTATAAGGAACAAATAATTATTGCACATACTATTACCCCTAACATATATAAATTACGCACACACACATAAATACATTCAAAAGTATATCATACTACTAAAAGTTCAATATACATATAATTTACCTATATGTATATAGTACTACTATACGTTCAAATATATATATATATATATATATATGCGTAGTACTAACATGTAACATCCCACATCGCCCAGGGGAGTAGATCATATAAGCCTTATATGTATATTCTCATCTTTACCTAGCACGAGGCCTTTTGGGAGCTCACTAGCTTTGGGTTTCGTAGGAACTCTGAAGTTAAGCAAGTTCGCACGAGAGCAATCCTAGGATGAGTGATCCCTTGGGAAGTTGCTCGTGAGTTCCCAGAAACAAAACAGTGAAGGCGTGGTCGGGGCCCAAAGCGGATAATATCGTGCTACGGTGGAGTCGAGCCCAGGATGTGGTGGGGCCCCGAACTGGGATGTGACATAACATATACGTTAAAAAATTATTATATGTAATTAATTTACCTATTTGTAAATTTATGATTAGCAAATAATATATTTTGTAGGTAAATTAGTATTAAATAAAATAATATTGCTTTATTATGTAGTTAAATTATTTTGCATATATTGCGTATGTTTATTATGTAGGTAAATTATTTTTCATGTATTTTACATAGATAGGCTAAATTATTTTGAGCAATCTAACATTTTAAAATTTTAATAGTAGGTGCACTATTTGAATCAAATAACATTTTTTAAGGTAAATTATTTTGCATGAAATTTTACATATATTAGTCATTTTTTTTTATATATGTGTGTGAAATAATCTACCTACATTAATATGTAAAATATAATTTGAGTGACTTAATTAAGCATGTCAATATATTAGACATGTTTTATTGATATTATTATATATTAGGCATTTTTTTTTATATATTGCATGAAATTTTACATATATTAGTCATTTTTTTTATATATATATATGTGTGGAATAATTTACCTACATTAATATGTAAAATATAATTTTAGTGACTTAATTAAGCATGTCAATATATTAGACATGTTTTATTGTTATTATATATTAGGCAATGAGTTTATAACAAATGTTTTTCTAGTAAAATTATTAATTCTCCCTTATAATTCGCATGACATTAATTGTGTACATCAAGCATTCAAATAAGGGTATTTTAGGCATCCAAAAAATTTTAAATGTGTTAAGTCAAACATAATTAATGAATTTGCTGATATGTAGTAAATGAGTTTTATTCGAGTAAAAAACTTGCGTTGGGTTTTATGTGGAGAAAATTAAGTTTTAGGGACTAAAGTTATATTTTCAATTTTAATAATTGAAAACTACTAAAATACTTACAATAAAATACAATAGTCATAGAGTATGTTGTATGTTAAATATGTATTATTATTTTATATAAGTTACAAAAAATTAAATTTATATATTTATTTTTATCATGATAGTTTCTTTTTACAATTAGTGGAATAGATTTTACTTGACATGTTGTCCAAAATTTAAACAAGTAATATAGTATAGGCAAAAAGACATAATATAGTATAGGCAAAAAGATAGACTTTCAATTTTATAGTTAACGACCTAGCAAAGTTTTTCACTCCCTCTCATTCAGTCATACTCATAAATTTGTTATCCTCTTAAAAGTGAGATTAAAAAAATTATAAAACACATTTAAAAACTATTAAGTAATTTAAAAATACCAAACACATTAAAAAAATTATAATAATTAATTTATAAGTGCGAAAAATGTGAAAAAAAAAAATGCAAACACTCGTGAAAGTGTCGTCTACATTTTGAGTATGGGTATATCTAGAGGTGGGTTCAAAATACCCAAAAAAGGGGACTGAACATTGAATCGAAACCGAAAAATCAAAAACTGAAAAAAAAATAAAAAACTGAACCAAAAAAGAAAAAATCGAACCAAACCAAACCGAATCCGTTTACACTCTACGAATGTATGCCCATGATGCTTCTTTTGTGAAACTTTGTTACCAAGTTTGAAATTGACCTAGGGCTTTTTTTAGGAGCATACTTGGTTCAATTAGGGAATATATTTCATTGGTTATAGAGGAAGGTTTTGGAAGGCTTTGGAACTTGGAAGAGCTCCTCTATTTGTTTGCTTTTTGAATGGATACATTGATCATTTTTTCTTTGCAATTGAGATTGTTGATTAAATATGATTGACATGCCTCGACCCCGATATCCCTAAATACAGGGATGGGCACGTGCTAGCCGACACCCCGAGGGTGACGAATCCATTTTGAACATGCTTACCAATAAAAATATGTAATTAGAACGGATTAAAACAAAGCAAAATCGTGTTCAGAGAATACAACTACTCAAGAATAATAGGAAATAATTATTATGAAAAGGTACGAACAAAGAAATGATACCTATAATGAGAAGACTTGAGAATACCTATACTGTAGAGTCCTGATGTCAGGATCATGTGCCTTGATCCTGACTTCTGCGGGGGCGCAAAAACAGAAAAGGTGAATGGACCAAAGTTTATAACAATAATATTAATAATAGAAAAACCGTTTCCTTTATGAACATAGTAACCCCTTGTTTTGAAAACAGATATAATACTACATATAGGTTTTATAAAAATCCTAGCATGGCGTGTAAAACATTTGTAAAACATCTATAAATCGTATCTGTGAAGTCCACAACTAGGGGTATCATAGTTGCCCAAAGGCAGTACCTGTCCATCACCCGAAGGTGAAGTTGAATAACCTGTCCATCACCTGTAGGTGAAGCTGAATCAAATAGCATAACATCCACACCAGCACTAGCCGTGGCTAGTGAAGTTGTCCGACACTGCTTTCGGTAGTGAAGTTAGGGGTATATAATATATCATTCATCATCATCTGTGTCCTATGGCCATAGACATCTATACCCGTGGTGTGCAGATGTGTCATATGATAACCCACTAGATATGACACACCCCGACCCAGAAAGTCCACTTAGACCCTGAATCGAGCTGTGCTGGCCGACACCTGGAAGGTGACGAAGCCATAAAATGTGATAGTGTATAAAAAGTGAATAAATTTGAATCTAAAAGTGTCTAAATACCAGAGTGCGCTACGAGTGGGAGCGAACTCATTTCACGCGCGATGTCAGAGCATAAGTAAGGTACAGTAATGTGGGTAAGAATCA